GCAGAGGACAGACTCGATGATTCCTCTGTAGAACTGTATCAGCAGCTCCTGGGGCAGGTCGAACTTCCTGAGCTGGCGCAGTTGTTATAAATCTGAAGGCTTGCCAAACTTAGCCTTCAGCCTTAGATTTTTTTCACGTGAATAACTGGACACCTTGATTTCTCTAAAAACTACATAAATAAAAATTCCTTAGATATAAACTACATGTGACAATGTGTGATAAGCTGCGTTGCTAGACTTGCCAAAGCAGCTGAAAACTAAATTAAATTTATTTCTGTACAGTATTTATTTGAAACCCCTCTTTATTCATAATAGAGGCAACATGGAGAAAAGCGTGATGAACAGATAGGCATAAGAAAGAAAGTCACTTTTGGCTTTTCCCATTAAGGGGTTGCCACAGCAACTCATCACACTGATGACTCGCATGTTGACATTGGGCACATTTTACGCTGGATGCCCTTCCTGACGCAACCCTGACTTAAACTCGGGCCACAGCGGCAAGAGTGCTGCGCCTTAACCACTAGCCTACCAGGGACGGCATAAACAGAAAGACATAGATATTGGAAAGGTAATTCTTTATTAATTCTTTTCCATAGTTACACACATCTATAGTTACATCCACATACAATCACACACATGCCAAATCCCAGGAAGTCACCTGAATCAAGGAGAACAAAATAAACTGAACACACATTTCTGTCACTTCTACTTTTCACAAAGCCTGAAGTCACCTGAATCAAGGAGAAGCATAACAAGGAGAAGTCATAATCTTCAATCTTAGGCTTCCCTATGTTGTCAGAAAAATCAACAACAGTCTCTGTCAATACAACATCCAAAAGCAGCACAGCTCTCCGGTGTTTTGTACTCCACGATGATGACCAATAGCAGAAGCCAGTAAAAGTTCTAAGTGTGAGTTCATCCAGTGGCTGTATGGCATAGGGCTGTAAAGCCAGTATGCCAGCCGGGACAGCAGGGGAAAGTGGGGAGTTGTCATCCTCCACCACAACCAGAGATGGAAGACGGAGCAGACTGATGACGACAATGAGGACAAAGCAGAAGATTCGCTTTTCGGACAGATTAAATATAAGGGCTAAGACTAGGAATAGACGGCGTGGGTTCGAGATGGGGTCCTCCAGAAACCAGAAGGCTGGCAACATGAGAGAATGGGGTAGAGGAAGAAAGGAAAAGTGGTAGATGGAAGACAAAGACAACCGAAGAAGACGAAGAAAAGAGATTCGATAGGAGGTGAGAAGATAGGAGTTCCCTGGCTTCTTTTTGGAAAGTTTTGTCTTTAAGTGTTTTAACCCTGACATCAAAAAATTGCCAGAACATTCTAACTTTTTGGAACTGAGATGTTTATTAAACCTTTTAACAAAATCCAAAAGATAATGTGCCATATTATTTTGTTTTTGTTTTTTTGTATCACATTTGATACATGGGCATTTTTGGCAACTTTTTTCGCTCAGAAACGTAAAATATGATACAAATGGTTTTATAGGGTTAAAGACTTTTGAATGTGCACTCTTTTAAAGCTAAAGCGTTTCAAAACACTTTAAAAGACTGTACACTAGTAAAACGATCTATCATGTTTCAAAACACTTTAAAAGAATGTTGATAATGCACTTTTACAGACGTTTAAAAAAACAGGGGATCTCCTATCTTCGGTTGTCTCAGTCTTCCATCTTCTACCCCGTTCTCTCGTGTTGCCTGGTTTCAGGAGGGCCCCACCATGAACCCGCGCCGTCTATCCCTAGTCTTAGCCTTATACTTTACCTGTCCAAAAAGCAAATCTCCGTCAATCTGCTTCGTCTTCGGTGGGGGGGAGGGGAAGATGACATCTCCCCACTTTCCCCCGGCATCTTGGCTTTCCCTGCCATAGGGGTTCATGGTGTACCTTACGCAGCAGATAGCATTAAAGGCTTTGCTGAAAGACCCACGACTGGCCACGAACCCCCATCTGTCTGATCACAGACAGCGGTATGAACCACTGTGCCATTCACCAGTTAAACTAGAACACATTTGGAACTTGTTCTGACTTCTGTTTTCGGTGAATGACATTGCACATGGGTGCAAGTCACACTGGTAAAACGATCTATCATTAGTGATGGTCCTCTGACACATGCGTGGTAGCTCATGAACTAATTGTATCGAACCACTGTGCTGAGGTATGTTTTTGTCATGTGACTAGTGGCGTTTGAAGCACTTGAGTGCCTCGGACATCATACAAATCAGCTAATTGGTTCTGTTTGTCACGTGAATCACTTTGGTGGATAGTGTGTGTTCAGGGACAGGATATACCAAGTTAATGACATTAATTTGAATTTTTTTTTGCAGAGCAGGTTGGTTTGTTGCCGTTAGTTGCTTTGAGAGTTAGTGTTGTAGCAGATTGTGTATTTAGTGGAGAATCACTGTAGATAGATCAATAGATAGCTAGATAGTAAGTTACACAGAGAAATAGATAAATTAGTTACATAGTTGGATACCACTAGATAGTTAAATAGTCCTAAATAACCCTAGATATATAGAGATAGAGAGCAAGCAAGAGAGATAATAGATTAACTACCTAGCTAGATATACATATCTAGATAAGTTACACAAGCACACCCTCTTTACCCACGTACCCATGAACTTCTTTACCAATGAACTCCAAAACATACTTTGCCAAAGCCTATAATATATTCCGTATTTGCACCAGTCCCATGTGAAAATGACATCTGTCTGAATTTGTAGAGCACATCTCATGAATGTAGCAGCACCATTTAAATGTTTCATAACACAAAATATAAGTGAAGAGTATTTAGGGTTACAATCAGACATGCCAAATAAGAAACATGGTCTTCAACGTGTCCATGTTCATTTAATATCTTATTGTGTCACCTTAAACCATACAACCATGTATTGTAGTCAAACAGGAATGTGCATGGCGAACAAAATCCCAAACAATCCGTGAACCAATGACACGTCTTGATTGCACTTCATTATATTTACCACTAGACGTCCTACTCGAGCACTGTGTCATTGAAGCCTCGAGTAATGAACCATTTTTGTGAATACTGTGTCAAAGCTTCAACAAAGCCTAGATCTGCAGGCACAGAAAACCTGAAGTGACTACTGTTATTGCAGGAACAGGAAACAGCAGTCCACAACAGAATTCAGACTTTCTGTGTGCTGCGATATACAAGTATTAGACCATCTACCCATGGGTTTCATTTTCATTGTTTTGTCCAACCAACCATCAAAAACTTAGAAAACATCAAAATATAGCAAACTGAAAAACTGAAACTCTGGAAAACTTAAAAATACTTAGTATTTTCCCCATTCTGACATGTCAGACGAGCTGAAAAGTTGGGTCTTCAGTGAATGGATGGGGCCCTGTATTTACTTGGTGCTGGGTTGAATGAATGGTCACATGGGAACTCTCATGTCATATATAGGGTGTGTATGTGAGAAAGAAAGCAGCATAAATGAAGTAGAAGAATCTGCTGTCTGAAACTGCAGTTCAAATGTGCAACACATATTACATTCATTCTTTCAGATGTCTCACACATCTGCCTCTGCCTCCTGTTCATCAATGCTCTGTCCTCCACAGTACTGAGGGGGGCCGCCCCTAGCCCTGCTGTTCAGACAGCTGTCTTTGCGCAACACTGACCTCTGACTCAGGCGGCCCCTGTTGCCGTCTGTACTCAGAACAAACACACCAGCTGCCGCTCTCAGGAAGAAAACTGCTGCTTAACAATACAACTGTTGACTTCATCTACACATATGGATTCAAAAAGCTGGGCGTGAAACAGCTGCCACTCTTTCTGAACGAGAGCTGGCTTTGCAGCCGAGACCCCAACGGAGCTCCACAGATTCAAGAAGCTCCCAGCGACACTACAGGGGAAAGTTGGGGAATGCTAAACTTTATGCAGATATCCTCTGAAGCAGCATGAGCGGCAGCCAAGTGAGAGGTCAAAATCTCTGGCTTTGTCTTTCTCTTTGTGTCTTTATTGAGTTACCAGGAGATAAAACAGAAGAACAATGTGTGGAAACCATCACTGACATTGTTGGTGTGCCTGGTACACAGTGCGGCAGTGGGTACGTCAGAGAACTACTGTCCAGTCAGAGCAGAGTATGTAAATCACGTGCTCAACACACCACACTCTGAGAACTAGAGATATATAGAACAGGTATATTTCGGTTGATTTGACAGCTTTGATTGGCTGTCTAATGCGGTCCGTCACTTCTTGTCACTACTTTGCAGAAATCTGGTTGAACAATACCAAGATAGCAGCCGCCATATTCACAATATTCTGCCTTCACTTTTGCATAGTGGAGGAAAGTGGTGAGGCATTGTCCACCTTTACATATAGTTTATGGCGTGGATGCATTGTAAGGAGTAGTAAACCTTACCTCAGTGTTGGAGTAGTAGGTATTCCAGGAGGACCTGAGAGACTCCTGCCCTCCTATGTCCCACATCAGGAAGTGAGTGTTCTTCACCACTATTTCTTCCACATTGCTACCAATGGTGGGAGACGTGTGGACAACCTCGTTCATCAGACTTAATAAAACAGGACAGAACAGTAAGTTTTTGCAAATTTGCATAAAGCAAAGGAAAGAAATTTGAGCATAAAACTACTTACAATTGGTAGAGTATAGTGGTTTTCCCTGCATTGTCTAGTCCAACAATTATCACCTTGTGCTCTGCAAAACAAATACTGGCAATGGGATCTCCAGAGAAAAATGCTCTATATTCAAAAGACCACTGTTGTAAGTGTATCCTCCTCATTGTGAAAACAATACTGTATATGACAGGAGTATGTGATAGAGTATCTTGTGTCTGGTTTTAGTTTTTGGAACGGTCATTCATTGATGCCCATTCAAAATCATAGAGGTCGAACTTCCCTCCTTCCTAAAATATTCAAGCTCATCTTTCCAAGCACAGCTTGAATTACAGTATCTTCTAACCATGCAGAAAATCAATTAGCACAGTTTGCGTTGGTGAGGGCTTTGACAGCTGTAAAGCAGAGCAGCGTAGCAGACTACAAAATACAAAATCACCACTGACATGTACTTTAGTGTTTTGATTTTTCCAGCCATGAGGCCTCGGGCCAACGGGCAGGAAGGAAGTCTGGTCAAAGGGCTCGCAGTTCTGACAGTCTGGGTACACCATGCTGTGCTCTAGAGGATGTTGCATGTTTAACACTTCCATAAAGACGTCTGGCAACCCTGACAGCACAACTAAAATGAATGTTGCCTATTTCATCCAAATGACATCAAATCAAACTCTTAAATAGTGCAAACATTATGTCCTTTTTGACATGTATGCAGTTCCTTAAAGGTTAATTAAGATTTGACACAGTGTCTGATAAGTCAAATGAAAATGGGACAAGACATGGTGTCTCTCAGCTATATGCTACTAGCCCCTCCAGGACACTGCTGCCTATACCAGGAAATTGCAAACAGAGCCAGTACATTTTTCTTGCAACTGTATTTCACTGTTTTATGTGAGTGAAACCTGACTTGGCAAATAGTGTAATCACAAATCAGGGAACAGATGAGGAAGTCTTCTCTCTCTGAGACCCTGCAGTGATACGACATAGGCCAAAGTAATTCAGAGAGGAGATATGCATCACACCAAGTTCACATCACGTGACAATATGGAACACAATAGAACATGAAACTGCTCAGTCAGTTATCCTTTAACTAAACCTATGACAAAACCAGATCCTTTATCAGACTAAACTTTACTACTGCCCAAAATCAAAAACTTACTTTCCAATTTCTTCATTACATAAATTAAAAATAAATGCTGTAAGAAAACTATTGCATCAAGATGGTCATTTTGCCTCAATGTGCATCTTATTGCAGAAATTTCTGTATATAGGAAAAACAAAACCTTACTACTACATCTTACATCTTGTAATACTTCACAGTATCTTACACATACTGAATATGGGTGAAAATGGTGCACTTATCTCAGCCCCCTCCCACACTTATATCCTCAAGGTATTTATTTTCCAGAAACCACGAAAGCTACTAAATACATGAGTTTCCTATATATTAGCTTTTTTACAGCCACAGTCTCAGGGCATGTAGAGATAAACATAAATAAATAGATGCTAAATTTAATCACAGATCCAATCATACATTCAATCATTACACCCAACACAATGCAGTACATATAAATAATTAGAGCTGGAACAATCAGTTGATTGATCCATTGGCTGATCAAGAGAAAAATGTTGATAATCAATGAAACAGTTTCGGTCTCTAAAGCCAAAATGCCAATTATCTGGGTCCACTCTAATATTACAATATGTTGTTCTTTTTATTTTTATAAAATTATGAAAAATGTAACGCCTTTTTAAACAATTTTGAAACTTTTCATAGACCTGATTATGAAACACGCCATCGTCCTGCCAACAGTGTTGGCGTCAGGACAGTTCCTGTGGTTTTTACTTTCTGACTCATTGTCAACTAAGTGGACACTTGTAACACGAATCCTTCGTTAATTCGAGGGATAAATACCATTTGAAAGTGAAGCATCTTGCTCGATAGACAGACAAGCTTTCCAGAAAGACAAGAAAACCTAACGTTATGTAATGTGGGGTGTCCTGGAAAGTCAGGTAAGATGATAGTCAACTCAACTTACGGCGACTTAATGTTGTTTGATTAAGGGCTGAACAAATTATTGATACTGCCAAGAGTGTTGGGAAACTGTAGCTGAAATGTTCCTGGCATGCAAGCTTAACAAAGACCGTTCAGATGCAGAGCAGCGTGAAGTCCCAGAGATATAGCTATAGCGAGACAAGTCTCCATCTGTTATTATGCGTTTTACTGCTCACTTTAAGCTAATGGGCTAACAGTTAACGGTTGAATAGCTAGCGGGAGAACAAGTGAGCTCTAACTATTTCACTGATACCCACCTTGGTTGCAAAAGAAGCTCCACAGTTTGGCGAATATAAGGCCCATTGTCTAGGTTAATATCAGTCCGTTAGCAGGGTGGGCAGCAGCGCCGAACTTCGCCTCTTCCAAGTCCACAGCGCACGTCTTCCCCGGCTGCGACAAGCTAACATTAGCTGGATGATCTCTTGTCCGCACAACACCTTACCTACCTTTTTAACGACAACTCCATGCGACCCTGTCACATCTAATACGTAACTAACTCGAAGATAAAAATGGCGTACAATAACAATGAAATGATATAAGGCGCCGTTAAAGCATCCACAAACTGTACTAACACCAATTGTTAAAAACAGCTCTAATTTTACTGGTGCCACGGCATCTCCTGCACGTTAACTGCTGCCAGCGTTCCTCTATAAATAAAGCAACCCTGACTATTCACATATCTTCCGGTTACGTGATGACGTCACGACGTGGTCGTTGGCCTTTTTCAGCAAGTGAGCCCTGAAAATAAAGTAGTTTTCAGATTAAAAAAATATTTTCTTAATATTTATACACACTGAAACTACCGACAACATGCCTAATACATTATTTAAATATACATTTGTGAATATATATTATTTCTTTCCATATGTTATATTCAGTTATTTCAGTTTAATATAAAGAGCTTTTTGCTTTATTATTTCCAGTGTTTTGTGTCATAATTAAGTAATTGAATTCAACGTATCTTTGTCATATAATAATTGAAACAAGAACATTAAAATTTGAATTTGAGGTAGAGTTGTAAAATATACGTTTATATATATGCTATACTGTTACCTACATGTTTTAAATATTTCTCTAAATATTTCAAAATGTAGGGATTAACCAGTGTCATGTGACCAGGCTACAGTGACGTATACGGAAGTAGTCGCAATGATCATGCTAATGTGTTATGATGGCTAAAGCATTCATGACCCAAACCTGCACTGACAGTGAGTACCGAAGGAATATTGAAATATTCCTTAAATCGCTACCACACTGACAATAAGCTGTGAATGTTACTGACCATCTATTAGATATGAATTTAAATCGGTGGTGTGCTGACTTGGACTGACTGGCTACTGTGATGCGAGTTCAAATTATGACCTGTTAAGGAGAGGCATATGCTCAAGTCAGATAAAATCTGGCTTTTAATGTGTTACATATAATTAAGAGTGTGCCAATAATAGATGGACAGAAGGATTCACCTCAGGATGCATAAAGCCAAGCTCACGCTTTATCTTCATCTAAGATCAAGATCAAAGATTTGCATTGTCAATTCACTATATGTGCAGGAGATACAGAAAATCGAAATACCGCCTCTCTGTCACCTAGCACTGAATGCCATACCATTTAGGAAACTAAAATATAAAAGTAGAGTAAAAATAGACAAACGAAGAGAATAAGAAAACTAAGTCAAAGTAATTAGGATACTACTAAACGGTACAACTTATAGGCTATGACTCAAACCATGTACAATCAGTGACACTAGTGCAAATAATAAGAAGATTGTCAGATGGTCGTGAGATTGAGATGCACATGGACAGTAGTGCAAATGACCAAGAGCAGCAGATATCACGGTAAAAACATTCGGCAACAAATTTATATGTAACAAAACAAGAAGAGGGAATGTACTGGGTTTGTGCAAAAACAGTAGAGGTAGTCTTTTTATGTTCTGTGATGGGTCACAGTCCAGGGGCGGGTGGCGGCAATGGACAGCATTTAAGTGTCTCATTGATCTCTCAGATGATCAAACATTAGATCAGTGCCACTGTCTTCCTCTTTTTTTAGTCATGATTTATTTGCTTTTCTCTTACCGATTTCATGTTTTTCTCTGTACAGCTTAAAATTTTTGTTGAGAGTGGAGAAAATGTATGTTTTTCCAAGAATTTCTCTGAAGCCTGGAGTTACTGAACATCTGAAGAGTGTTTTCCTAAACAAGGAGGTAAGGAGGTTTCTTGGAAGTATTTGCTCTGTTCTGGAGAATCATAAATATATAATCATAAAAATGTCTTCTTGTGTTTCAGTAGAAAAGATTAGCTATTAACAAAAATGTTAATAGAATTTCCTTTAGATTTTTTCTTTGCATAATTATTGTCATTATCACTTAAATTATGTGTTGTGAAAATCTATCTTCTTTCTTCTTCTTACTTTTTTGTGTTCAGGTATTAGCTGCAGTTGGTCATGAGGCGGCAGAAAGTCGTTTCCAGAAGCTGCTCTCATGTTTGTCACACCCCCCTTCATACACTTGTGTTCGGGCCAGCACTCATCTTGCTTCCTTGGAGGAGATCAGACATAAACTGGGAGAAGAGCTGCAAAATGTGAGGCAGAATACAGTAAACGAGGGTTCAAGGAAGTGAATACATGTAGCTCTTTTGTTGCTGTGTGTTTGCACCCCCTCATTCATAATATTGTTTTTGTTGTTGAAGCAGCAGATGCACAGCTTGCCAGTAGAAGAGGTCTCCCTTCAGATCCTTCTACACCCACTAATTCCAGATGTGCTGCTCCTTCCTGTCATTGGTCCGAGGTACGTGAAGTATGCTGGAACACTGTCAGACAAATAGGAATCTGCTCAACGGAGAACACACTTACCGAGGACAAACCCTCGTGGAATTTCTTGCCATGGCAACTTAAATACTACTGAAATGTTCAGCACAAAATATATATCACTGCTGATAACTAGTTTTGTTTACAGCCTGAAATTGTTAGTACTCTGTCACAGTAGGAGGATGTCCACTGAGACTGAGCTTTAAAAACCCATGACTCCCCTTTCTTTTGTGGTCTCAGACTTGTGAAGCAGCTCAGTTCAGAGGTGGTGGTCAGTGCTCAGTGTGGCAGTGCAGTTCTGAGAGGCGCTCATGTCTTTGCCCCAGGAATCCTCTCCAGCCCAAAGTGTAAGACTTTAAGACATTCACTCAGTTGTCAGTTTATAAGGTGCACCTAGCATAAACTAAGTCAGTCTGGTACAGTCCTACAGCAAATCCTCCTTCATGGAGGTGATAATATTCCAGAGGGGTGTTGATTCAACTGTATGATAATTTTAGAAGTAGTCTGTGCTGCTGTTGAATTGTACTGACAGGTGTTTCTATTATTTTGTGGCTAAATAACAGAAGCACCTCTTTGTATAATGCAGCAGTACAAACTACAGCCTCCACAATGATCATATAACTGAATCAACATCTTTCTAAAACAATCTTAACACAAACTGAACATTGTCACCTTTATGAAGTAGGACTCCCTACATGACCTTTGTATTAGTCTGCATTCATTTTAGCTTTGGGGTACCTAAAAAACAAAATGTATGTCATGTCATAAATTCAGAGTTGATCAGTCAACAGCACTTAATTATACTTTAGTTTAAGATAAAATTGACTTGTGATATGATTTGTTATCTTTAGACATGAAAGCAGGGGATGAAGTTTCTGTCTTCTCTGACCTGGAGGGAAAGTGCACCAGAGGAGCCACGAGCTTTCAGGGGAGGAAAGTGTTTTTGGGAAATGGAGTTGCTGAAAAGGACCGCTCCAGCATCTTCTGCACAGATGAACCTGCCAAGTAAGTAGACTTCGATTTCCCAATATGTGACTAGGTCTGAGTTGAGTATCTGGCCCAGGTTGGCACAGTGTCCTTGTGTTGTTTAGTTAGGTGACTCAGCTTCTGTTATTTTAGAGGCATTGCTGTGCGGATGGTAGAGCCACTTTACCAGAGTCCTTCATTTGCCGGTGTTCTACCCAGCCTGGCCTTCCTACAGGTATTTCTTCTATTAGTATGTATATTAGAGTAATTACATGCACTATTAGGGTCAGAATGGTGAACTAACAATCTGATAAACTGGCCAAGTATTGGACTTGAACTAAACAATGTAACAGTCCTGTATGAATGATGCTATCTTGGGACCAGTCAGGGTCCATGCATCACTCCCCAGAATAAAACAATGTTATGTTCTGCAGAACCTTCCCTCTGTGGTTGTGGGACACGTGCTCGGGGCTCATCCTGGAGAACGCATCCTGGATATGTGCGCCGCACCTGGCGGGAAGACTTGCCACATTGCTGCACTCATGGGGGACCAGGTGTGACATCTACATAGTTAACAAACAGCCTGCTGCACATGTTAGCTTATCTGTGGATCAAGAGTTTCAAGGGTTTCCTCTGAATATCAGGTCATTTACAGTGTACGTTTTGACAATCTAGTCGACAAAATGAACTGACAAGACGGCTCCTTTATGCATTGCACTGGGCTGTGTAAAAATTAGTACATTTTGACATTTGAATTTTGATACGCCATGACTAAAATTGTAGAACTTGCCTTCCCACTGGAAGTATTGCATTGCAGCCTATAGATGTTCCTATTTTTTGATCCTGCAGTGCAGATGCTATCAGATTTAATACGGACAAAATTCATCCCTGGATCATCTGTGTTTCGAGTGGAATTAATGAACTTCTGTCTTGTACAGGGTGAGGTTGTGGCCCTGGACAGGAACAGGAATAAGATTGATCGAATCCATCAAAATGCCCAGATGCTGCGTTTGAGCTGTGTTAAAGCTTATTGCTTTAATAGTACTCAGGCTGTGAGCAGTGATCCAGTGCAGAAGACTGAAGGTACAGTTTGCTGTATCTGTATATGCATCTGTGATTAATCCCAGGACTCAGTACATATATACCATGCCTGTTTCTGTACATATTTCAGGGCCTCCCTTCCCTCCTGAAAGTTTTGACCGGGTTCTATTGGACGCTCCCTGTAGTGGCCTCGGACAAAGACCCATCATGGCCAGCACCTGGAGTCTCAAGGAGATCTGCTCCTACCAGCCTCTGCAGCGCAAGTTGTTCCGTGCTGTAGGTTTTACCACACGCTCAGCACTTTTTACAAATTTGATCTCGTTTTGCAATCACCAGTTTGAAGGTTTGTCACCTCACATTGAAAACTCAATTTGACCAGAAGGTGGCAGCATTGGACAGTCTCAGAGGGAAATAACACACCATTACACATGCACATCCTTATGCATTTATAAGCCGAATGCATTAATCCATATCCCGTGTGTGGTTGCAGGCAGTGCAGTTGTTGAAGAGAGGTGGGGTTTTGGTGTACAGCACCTGCACAGTAACTCTAGCAGAGAATGAGGAACAAGTAGCCTGGGCCCTTGATAGCTTTCCCTGCCTCACGCTTCAGCCTCAGGTAAAAGTACTTTAGCCACATGGACCGACTCACAAATACATCCACCAATGTAAAGAAACCTCACCACATCACACTCTTGCTCCCGTGGTTCTTTCTCAGGAGCCTCACATCGGTGCAGAGGGCATGCTGGGAGCCGGCCTGTCACCTGAGCAGCTGCGCCTCCTCCAGAGATTTAGTCCTGAGCTGAGCTGGGACCACACAGAAACGACAACTCCCCTGCCTTGCAGAGCCAGCACAGACACTATCGGCTTTTTTATTGCCAAGTTCCTGAAAAAGTGACCGCAGGGCATGTTTCACAGCGCTCACATGAGACTGCAGACGGGAGCAACAGTGTTTACGCTATGATGCTCAGTGTGCTTTGAGTGTTGACAAAGACGCTGACTGTGCTGTTTACAGCATCTGTCTTTTAACAGCTGATCTCGAAAACTGCCGGCCATATAGGGATTAGCTCTGTAAACACACAGAGAGAGGCAAGGTGGGGGCATGTGGGGATGGAGACTGAATGAGTACTGGCAAATGCAGCAGTGCTAGCATCGCCATAACAACGGTGACGACACAGCTGCCATGGTGACAGTAGATCAGGAAGTAGCGTGCAGAAAGAGGTCACGAGAATTAACAATTTAGTGTCTTTAAGTAGCAGTGGAGACAATTGGCACTTCTGCTACCTCTACAGGAGAAATTATGTCAAATGAGTCAATTCTTTTTATTATAAAAATACATTTAAATTTTGTTCCTCTCTTTTTGTCTGCAACTGAACATTTACTGATTAAATGTTGGTTTAATTTAGTGCTTAGCACAATACTCATCCCTAATGTGCTTTCACGTGTTCAGATCCTTTACTTGAAAAATCTGAAAATACATTACAAGAAAACATCCTGAATTCAAAATCCCTCTTAAAAGAAATGCATGTACTTTGGGTATCAAAAACAAAGCTACTCATTACACAGCACTCTGTGCTCCAGGATATTATGATAGTATTTTTCTGATGTTTTATAAACCAAAGATGAATGAATTCATCAAGAAAATAACTGAAAGATAAACAATATTATAGTTAGATGCAGCCAGCCCTAGGTTTTAGTTGTTCTAGTTTACTGTGCGTAAGCCTCGACAGAGGAGATTTGTACCTGCTTACAGTAGTTTTGAATGCTAAATAGGGGCACAAAGTGTTCCCACTAATTTATTCAGTGTAGATTGATAAAGTGTGCCCATTGTGCACACAGCATAACATTGACTTTCAAAATAACCTGAGATTTTTTAAATGATAAAAGTACATTTAAAAGTTTGTCTCTTCGTGTCAGACTAGTAGAACACACTGCACTGCACCTCCCTTCATTTAACTGAATGGAGGGGTAGACTCCTCACTGTATTTGCTGTAGCACTGAAAGTTTTGACATTTTATTTCTGTTTAGCAACATCAAATTCCTGATCAGCTGCGTCTCTGGCAGTGCCTGTTTGTTTTGGAGGCATCTGTGAATAGAGAAGCAGCATCCTTATTTAGATGCATCCCCTCAGTACTGTCATTTAACTCAGTGTTGTCATGACAACTCAAGAAGCAGGCTGGTGGGAGCATCTCAATTTTTCAGTAGCATTTCAGATGTCTATTTATAGACACCACTTCCCTCCCCTGTCTGGGTCTTCTGGCAAAGCACACACATCAAATTCCCCTGCCCCCCACGCCAGTCCTTTGTTGCCGACTTTATTCTGTATATTTATGCATTATGTACACTGTTAAAAATCTGTAGTGCTACCAATGTAGCATAGCAATGGAGATTTTTTTTTTTTTTTATATAATTACAATTGTCAGGTGAGGAGACGGGGCTGGTGGTTTGTAAACCGAAGCTTGTGGACTAGTTTTAAGGATCAAGAAGTAATACATTAAATCATCGAGAATGTGACTTTAACATCACTTGTATCTTAAAGTTCAGGTGTCGAACATGAAACGCCTTCAATTTGCATTACATCAATCCTGTGTATTAGTCAGGGGAGGTACAGATGTCAAAAATACAGAAAACCAATCTATCTTCCTCTGGTAAACTTTTCACATTATTTAAGTTGGGTTTGCAAATGCATATTTTAAGTTAATGTGAGGAACATACTAAAGAAATATCCTAAAATGAACATTCTTTATACTCTGCAGTCCGTAGAAAAAAGGGGTCAGGCAGTCAGACTTATTAAAAGACAAACCTTCAGTAAGTTTTAGTAGTGGACCACATCAAATGGCTTTCACTTGAGAGCAATGTGAATCAGTAATAGTGCAGAACAAAGGAGGTATTAACGTTATACAATGTTTCTGAGCCCATACAAAAAGAACAGTGCTGCTTGTAAAAGAGGAAGTTACTGTGGAACTCGTCTTGTTTCGGAGGCACCGATATGCCAGAACCAAATGTCTAAAACTCTGGGTACACAATGAAGAGAGGAACTTAATCTAGTCTTTGTGATAACTTGTCACGGGGACTCGCTGGATTCAGGTTTGTCACACTTTTATTCCTTTAAATCTGAAGCAACCTGTAACTAGTTTAAGCTAAACTGAAGCTTCACATACTGTACATATGTTGTGAGAATGGCACTGATCTTTTTATCTAGGCTCAATTGCCAGTTTATTAAGTACACCTAGCAACA